CACACAGGGACTGTCAGGGACTGTAGCAATGTATTTGAACAGTCTAGGCCATAATCTGTATCAAGTGCACCAGCCAAACTACATTGAGCTGGTTTTCTACATTTCTAGCTGGTTTTCTACATATTTAGCTGTTTTTCTACATTTTTAGCTGTTTTTCTACATTTCTAGCTGTTTTTCTACATTTTTTCGTTTAGACCATTGTTTATCCCAGGTGCACTGGATGAGCCATTTTTTGGTGTTTTTCTGCAGTTTATCAAACTTTCTGGAGCTCTTAAGGCTGCTGAAACATAAATTGTACTAAATTGGGAAAGAGAAAGCTGAAGGACAGAATACCAAGATTAAAAATCCAAGAGAAAGGTGGGCAGTGATGCCCTGAACTACAACCAAGGCTCATGCAGGGCACATGGAGAAGAGAGAGGCACCAATTAAAAAAATGCATAATCACATAAACAATGGTTTTAGAATGTATAAATAAGGTTAAAAGTAAACAATAAAGTAAACAACATTGATTTGCTGTCCAGAAATCCTTCATTCCCACAAGGGACAGCACCAGGACAAACTTCACCTCTCACTTTTGTACCTACAAAACTCTTTCTGTCCTGGAATGAGTGTTAAAAACACACTTGTGCAGGTTCAGGTATCAATTTATTCCACTTTTAGGGCCTCCTTCCTTTAGGAAAATATAAATGAGTGTTTCCTGCATGTGCACACCAACATAGAATCAAAATATCCTCAGCTGGAAGGGACACACAAAGATCATCAAAGTCCATGCACAGGCCCTTAGTTCCTTCAAGAAGTAATTAACTTTCTTCATTAAGAGAAAAACACTCTGTAACAACTGCTGTAACAACAAAAGTACTCCAAAGAACCAGAAAAAATCAAAATGCATATGGAAAACGTGTGGTAAGTGATAAATACAGTAACAAATAATAAATACAACAATAAAGCAAGTGATAAATACTTCTATAAGGCAGAGTCACATTCCAGGGGCAGGAAATTCCCAAAGCATTCAGTTGCAAATTTTCTATACATGTACAAAAATATGGATTTCAGTGAAGATGAAATTCCAAAGAGATTTCTTTCATCAGTGCAGTTTGGTGTGGAAAATGTCACTTTGTTTCAGAAAGCTCCTGAGGGATTAGGGAACAGTTTACCCTGAACACAGAGTAAAGATATTTCTACCCAGGGGGTTGGAACTGGATGAGTTTTAAGGTTTCTCCCAACCCAAACCATTCTGGGATTCCACAAAGGAAAGGCAGAAAGGCAGAATGCAGAGTAACCCTTTCCTGGCACATGGATTAATTGGGATATTTCTGTTCTGCCTTTCCCCAAAGTGCTCCATTTTGGGCTTTGTTTTAATTGGAAGACAGACCTTTCCCTGGGACATTCAGAAAATCAGAGCTGTAGCATATTTTGCTTTATGACAAATCTAAAGGTTCCACTTTTGAGGAGAAGCCTGCAGGGCTGTGAGCAGTGAAGCCATAAATAAATCAATAAATCAATAAATCAATAAATCCATTCCTAACTGCACCTCAGGCACTGCCCAATTCCCTCTCACATGCCACCATGGATTTTGTGACCACTGAAAAATGCCCCAAAATATAACCCCAAAACCCATTTTTATCACATTGAGAACATTCCCACATTTTCTGACCATTGAAAAATCCCTTTTTCTCACATTGACAACATTCCCACCTGTGCTGTCTCCTGGTTTTTGGCTCAGCAGCTGCTTGTGGCAGCCAGGCTTAGGCAGCCCCTCGAAGCTTTTGAGGGGCCAGGAGCTGGAGAGGCTCCTGGGATCCTCCTGGCACTTCCCTGGAGAGGCAGCAGCAGAGCAGAGGTGCTTGGGGCTGTTCCTGGGGGATGACAAGGGGAAGGAGGGCAGGATGAAGGTGCCCTGGCTGGCACTGGGACCTTGGAAGGACATGATGGGCTCTGCCTGAGTGCAAAAACTTCTCTGGGTCTTGCTGGAAAAATTGAAGCTGGAACAAACTGAGCAAAGAAAATGAGAACAGTATTTGTTGTAAGTGGGTCTTGGAGTAAGGATTTATAATGAAATAATATACTGTAAGAATGATTTTCAGTGAAATAATGCACCATAAAAATAATTTCCCATGAAATAATCTATCACAAGAATAATTTCCCATGAAATCATGCACCACTAGGCAGTCAGAGCCTGAAGGTTTTGCCCAAGCAAGCAGACAAATCAACCAACTTCACTCTGCAAATTACATTCCCCTCCAAATGTGAGTTTAAGCTTCAAAACCATTTCTCAGGCATGTTTTGGAGAACTACATTAAAAAAAAAAAAAAAGTGATGCAAGTAGATCAAACAGTGCTGTGATCCTCCCAGAGCAGCCAGCACCTTTTCTCTGACACCCTGACACAGCCAGAGATCAAAGGTGGGGCTGCAAATTAACAAACACAAATTAAATCACACAGGACAGAGGAGCAACAGTGGAGAGGGACTGAACAACTTCCAGTAAGAGTTTCCATTTCTTAGGGAAGCAAAGGAAACAAAGTGACAACTCCAAAGTGACAACTCCAAAGTGACAACTCCAAAGTGACAACTCCAAGGTGACAACTCCAAGGTGACAACTCCAAGGTGACACGTTCTGCCACTGGCAGAAGCCACGTACCTTTGTCCTGCTGACAATTATTCAATCCCAAAAACTGCAAATCAGAGCCCACGCTGCCACTCCTCCCACGTGCCTGTGGGTATCCAAGTGTCCCACATCTCCCTGAGATCTGGGGCTGATGGGAGCCCAGAGCACCTTCCAAAAGAGAACACAAAGAACCACATCAATACCTCACACGTGGTGCCCAACAGAGAATATCCACTGATATTTCAGGGGGAACACAGACTCTGTGCAGCTCTGAGTGTGAAACTCGAATTCACTCCAAGTGCTTCATTCCAGAGTCTCTAAGCAACCTCAGAAAGCAGCTCAGAGGGAAAAAGGGAAAAGGACTGGCTGCTCTTCCAGGGCACTGCTCCAGCTGGGAATTGCAGGGGAGGGGGCAAAAGAACCCCCTGGAACAATCCCCTCTTTGAGTGTGTGCCTTAAAACCCAAACCACAGCGAGGGAGCAAACTTGGCAAGGCCAGGATTCCCCAAAGGGGACAAGGACAGAGCCCAGGGCCACAGGGCCACAATCCCTCAGGTCTGAACTTGCCCAGGCTTTTCAGATCCTGCTGGTTACTGAAACACTAAAACCTGCTGTGCCTTGGCAGCTCCAGCTGTGCCCCCACTCACCAGCACCGAGGGCAGAATGCTCTGAGTTCAGCTCCAATAAAGGCCTGGGAGCTCTGCTCCTGCTGGAAAACAAATCTTCACTGCCTGGGATTCCCCGGAGCTTTGGGGAGTGAAGGAAATCATTGGATGCGGCCAACTGTAAGGAAAAGCAAAATAAAGTGTGTGTGCAATGAAACAGCACAGTTACAAATATTTTCACACTTGCTTTGCCTTCCTACCTACCCAATATTCAAATGTTTTAAGCATCAGAAAGCATTTGAGCTGTTTTTGCAGGTCTTACTAAAATACAGGTTAAAACTACTCACACTGAAAGGGGGGAAAAAACCCAAATAAACTGGTAGAGAACTGCACTATTTTAAAAATTAAATCTTAAAACTGAACATTGACCTTTTGAATTATACACTTTAGATGGGGAAGTGTTTGAATAGACAACAGAACCCCAAAATCTCAGAGTGGAAGAGTTTCTTGCAAACCACACACTCCAGATTCAGTCTAAAACTGTACCTGGCAACACCAGCAGCTTTGACTGAGAACTGGCTACAGGTAGGGAGAAGATCTCAATAATACCAATATTTAACAAAGAAAAGGTCATGCTTTAAATAAATTTCTGATTAAAATAGTAAAATCAGTGATTTAAATCATTCCCAGGCTGTATTTACTCTGTTCTCCCTTCTGAGGGACACAGGATGAAAAGAAGAGCAGGAAAATGCTGAAGTGCTTTATTCCAGATTATTACAAGTTGGGATATGTGATGTGAGACCTTGGCATTGCCATTCCTGCAATCACCAAACATCATTTCATCCATGGATCCTCCAGTCAATAATGAAATATTCCTTGTACAAATCACCACAGCCTGGTTTCAGCTGGCATAAAGGGAATTTTCTCCTTAGGAGCTGGTACAGGATAAACTTCCATCCCATTTTTCCATAAAGCAACACATGCAGGAATCAATTCCAACACTGCCATGAGTGCACAGCTTCACTCAGCTGCTCCCACCCCAGCTCCAGGAGTGAAAACTCTGCTGCCTTCTACCCAAATTATAATGACAGCATTGCAAATTCACTAAACACAGCCTTGGGGAAAGAAAGCAAACCCAAAGCTGCCACGTTTCCCTGGGGTAGATACAGATCCTAGCAAAGGGATTTCTCTAAAGGGTTCAGATTCCTTTAAATTCCACAGGAATTGGTAACCTGATTATCAAAGCACAGCCCCTGAGAGTGACCCATAATGGAATCCTGGAATGGTTTGGGTGGAAAGGGATCTTAAATCCCATCCCATCCCTTCCCAAGGATCCCATCCCATCCCATGGATCCCATCCCATTATCCCATCCCATTATCCCACCCCATTATCCCCACCCCATTATCCCATCTCCCACTGTCCAACCTGGAATGGAAACATTCCCTCCCTGCATCCCTTCCCTGTGCCACTGGATGACACCAAAGGTTCTCTGGGAATTCCAACACCAGCAGCATCAGGAATGTTCTTCCACAGAGACCAACACCACACAAAGACAGAACAATATTTCCCCCAAATCTCCAGAAAAAGCAGGGCTCAGGTCCCAGAGGGACACCCAAGGAAGGGACACCTTTATCCCACACCCTGACCACCCTCTGTGTCCCTCTGATCCTTGAAAAACAAAGAGGTTTTGTCCCATAAATCTGATTTCCCAGACCATTTGAACACTCAGAGCTCTCCACAAAGGTGAGTTATCAAATTCTGCAGTGATCAGAACAATATGGAAATGAGAAGAATTCCATACAAAGTGAGGGAAGATCCCAGAGTTCACAGGAACTTTGTGACAAAGGGCTTAAATGTCCCAGTGAAATGTTCAAATGCTCTTGTTTCCCCCAAAAGGAATCTCTGGGTACCTAAAGGCACCTCCAGCAGCAGGGACAGGGTCTGTGTGTCCCAGGGGGAATTCACCCTGGAATATTCAATATTCCAACTTGCCCTACAACACCTGAACACCTCCAGGGATGGAGAATCCACAGCTCCCAGACAAACCCCCGAAGTCAATGTGCTTTATCTACCTTTTATTTTTAGTACACATTAACTTACACATGTTCTACTCACACCTTATCTGATCAGGAAAGTCTAGACACAACCTGGGACAACCACTCTGTAACATGACCCCAAAAATGCTGGCAGGAAAACAGCTTTAAACATTAAGCTACTGCCCTGCATCCTTTCAGCCACAGAATGACTCCAAAAGTTAATTTTTAAGCAAATTCATTTCAAAGGAATGTCTGAATTAATATTTGACATGTACAGAAACCAGTCGACTATCTGAGATTTATGCAGGATAAATGAATTTTCCTTACTGGGAGTTAAGGGCAGACCCAGGGCTAACTTCCCACACAGATCCTGGCTGCTGGATGGCCCAGGGACAAGAGCTGGACTCTCACAGCTCCTGGAATGTCTTCAGGGAGCACCAGCCAGCTTTACATTCCCAGACTGAAAACACAATTCACCTTCTTGCATCCAAGACAGAATCATGAAATATTCTGAGTTGGGACCCACAGGTCCAACTCCTGTCCCTGCACAGAGCCCCCAACAATCCCACCCTGGCATCCCTGGTGTCCAAACTCTCCTGGAGCTCTGGAATTCCCTGGGGAGCCTGGGCAGTGCCAGCACCCTCTGGGGGAGGGAAGAACCTTTCCCAAAATCCAGCCTGACCCCCCTGGCCCAGCTCCAGCCGTTCCCTCATGTCCCTGTGCTCACCAGCATCACTGAACAAAGTGTCCCCTGCCCCAGAGAGTTTCATCCAGATGGGATGGGACAAAGGATCAGGATGTGATGAAGGAGCAGCAAAGGTGTCAACGACAGCCATCAGGTCAATATTGCATTATTAAAGGTGTTTGAATTTTCCTCTGCAGTAGCTGGGGTCTGGACTCCAATTCATCCTGTGCCAAATCAGATCCCACTGCCAGAGGGCAGGGATGGATGGGATGTTGGGAATTGGGAATTCCTGGCTGGGCTGGAATTGCCAGAGCAGCTGTGGCTGCCCCTGGATCCCTGGCAGTGCCCAAGGCCAGGTTGGACATTGGAACAGTGGGAGGTGTCCCTGCCATGGCACTGGGTGGGATTTAAGGTCCCTTTAACCCAAACCATTGCAGGAACTGATGGTTTACCCCACCCCCAAACGCCCTTCACACACCAAACAAACAGAATGCACAAGCTCCTTGCTTTCTCTCCCTCTCTGAAGGCTGGAAACTCCTCCCACGTTACAGAGATAAAAACTACAACCCCACGTACAAAAGGTTCATTCCTTTCAGAAAAGGAGCATTTCCAGAGCCCCTCCCTGACTTCCTTGGAGAGGGGCTGTCCCAGGCAGGGAAGGTTCCTCCTTTCCAAGCCCCAGCCAGGTGTTGGTGCCTGTATTAACTTGCTTTTCGTTCACAGCTACAGAAAAACAGCAGCAGCACATGGCTTGGCCCAACCTGCCAGCAGAACACTGGCACTGTTGTTGCTTTTTTACAAGCTGTATTGGTTAATACTGAAAAACTCCCCCAAAAAGGAAACCCTTCTTGCTCCAGAGGTGTTTCCTACACATCTTGTTGTGCCAGCCCTGTCTGCAGATATCCCAAGGGAACTGATTCATCAGCTCAGGGGGACACAGACATCTTCAGGAGCCTCAGGAAAAGCAACACAGGCGCCAAGGAAAGAGATGAGCATTCAAGTCCAGACATGAACTTCAAGGTTTGACAGTCCAGAAACATGAACTGAGTTTATTTTGCCCCACAGCCAGGCTGCAGAGGAGCTCTCACTGTCCATGACCTCACCCAGCCCAGCAACGAGTTACCAAGCAACTGAGAATTAAAATCTGAGTGCGTAAATGTGGCACTGAGGAGTCTCCTCTGCACAGCCTCTGATTTCCTGAGGAGCTCTGTTTGCTTCAGCTCCCTCACAGCTATGATCAATCAAACGTGTCCACTTAAAAAAACAAAACAAAACAAAAAAAACCCCCACCACACAGAGATGTGTGGTATCCAAAACACTTCACAGAACCATTGGCAAAGGAAAAAGAACCTGGACAATTTTCCAGAGGTTCCTCCCCTTTCCAGCTGCTGACGTGGTCAGGAGGTGATTACACTCAAACTCAACCAGAATCCTTATTCCAGCCTGACCTACATTTTTCCAGGTTGGAACAGCCCAAGGAGCAAGAGCCACACAGGCACTTGGCAGCTCTCAGGTTTATCCCAAAGAGCCCTGGCTCAGCCCCATCCCACAGCTCTGCCTTCAGAGCCTGAGCTGAAGGAGGTGCTCAGTTTCCCCCCCAAACAGGGAAAACTGCAGTCAGTCCCACGCTTTCAAACACAAACATACAAATAAATATACACATACAGTGGTTTTCCCCACTTTTATGCTCATTCCCAGGGGTTCACCTGTCATTGTTGACATGTCAGAGTCATGCCAGGGCTGTCAGACCTAAGGAGTGTCTCAGGTAGTTCAGCTAACCTCAAAAAACCCATTCAAGTGATCTGGTAAATCGCTTGGTTGAATCTGACATAAAGAATTCCCAAATTTGCCTTTCCAGAGGGATCTGAGTGTCTAGCTCGATGAAACACGAAAGAGCAGCCATACCTCCCAAACATCTGTCACTTGAACGAGCCTTTGACAACTTCTCATCCTCCCTTTGGAAATGCCTCAAGCATAAAGGCACCCAGGGAGTTACGTACCTGCTCCACACCCTTCGCGACAGGCACCCTCACTGCCGAGCCCCCTTCCCTGCCGGCGGGCAGCTCGTTCTCCCAGGGCAGCTTGTTTTTCCCTCTGCCGGCACTCAGGACTCTCCGGGGGCTCAGTCCCCGCTGGGCACAGGCGGGGCCGTGCAGCGCATCTGGGCAGGCGGGGTGTCCGCAGTGCCCGTGAGCGCTCCGGCTCCTGCTGCCCATCAGCAGCCACTCGGTGTCGGCTCCGGGCGGCGGGCACGACCCGCGGCAGTGCCCGGAGGAGGGCAACAAGGGCACTCCGTACTCCACGAGTCCCTGCTCGCTCAGCTTGGGCAGCACCTTCCTGGCCAGCCGAGCCTGCACGGCTTGCACGACCCCCGCGCCGCCGGCCCGCAGCTCCACGGCGTCCAGGGCGCGGAGCAGCGCTCCGGTGCTGCCGGGGCCCAGCGCCGAGGCCAGCGCGGCGAACGCCTCCATGGCAGCGTGCCGGACCCTGCGCTTGGCGTCCAGCAGCGCCGGCGCCAGGGCGGCCGCCAGCTGGGGCAGCTCCAGCTCGGCGGCGGGGTAGGTGAGCAGCGCGGCGATGCACGTGTTGAGCAGCTCCTCGCGGAGCCGGGCGCTGCGGTGTCGAAGCAGCCGCTCCTGCAGCAGCAGGCGCAGCACGGGCCGCGGCCCGGCCGCCGCCATCAGCCGCAGCAGCAGCCGAGCGCTGTCCCGCCGCATGGCCGGCTGCGCGTCCCCGAGAGCCCGGGCGGCCGCGCACACCAGCGGGGCCAGCACGGCCGGGACGCGGCGGCCGAGGCGCAGCGCCAGCAGCCGGGTCACCTCCAGAGCCCCCCGCGCCACCGCGAAGTTGGGGTCGTGCAGCAGCGCGTCCAGCAGCGCGATCAGCCCCAGCAGGGCGGCGGAGGGAGCGGAGCCCAGCGCGGCGGGGCTGCAGCTCTCCACCGCCCGCCGCAGCTGCTCCACGGCCTGAGCACGGCCACGGTAGTCCCGCCGGTCCAGCAGCCGAGCGTGGAGCTCCGGCGGCACCAGCGACAGCTCCGGCCCCGCCAGGAGAGCCGCGTCCTGCTGCGGGCTGGGCGGTTCCGTGCCCGGTCCGTGATGAGCGGGATCGGAGGGCTCCGTGCCCGGTCCGTGCTGAGCGGGATCGGGGGGCTCCGTGCCCGGCCCGTCCTGAGCGGGGCTGGGGGGCTCCGTGTCTTCCAGCGGGCCGGGAGGCTCCGTGTCCGAACCGTTGTGAGCTGGGCTGGGAGGCTCCGTGCCCGGCCCGTCCTCAGCGGCACCGCGGAGCTCCGTGTCCGAAGCGTTGTGAATGGGGCCGGCGGCATCCGTGCCCGGACCGTTCAAAGCGCGGCCAGGGGTCTCCGTGTCCCAACCGTTGTGAGCGGGGCCGGAGGGCCCCGTGCCGTCGTCACCGTCCCGCGCGGAGCCGCCGCGCTCCCAGGCCCGGCCGCGGCCCCGCGGTACGGAGGCTCCCGGCGGCGGCTCCGCCATGGCCCGAGGCCGCGGCCATGGGCGGCCCTAAGGCCCCGCCCGGCAACGCCGCCGTCGCCAGGGGGCGCCGCGTGCCGCGCCGGCGCTGCGCCGACCATGCCGCGGCGAGCGGGGGGGACACGCGTGCCTTCCCGCCTTCTTCTCAGACCGATGCGAGCGGGAAGGGGCGGAAAAACGGTGGCGAAGAAGCAGACAGAAGCGTGAGCAGCGGGGACAGAGCTGAAGCAAAACCGGCGGGGAAACGAACGCGGCGCATCCCCCCCGCGCGGTGCGCCGTGTGGTAGCGCCCGGGTACCGGCCGGTGTGGGTGTGTGCCGCGGCGCGGCCGTTGATTGGTGGGGCGCGCGGGGCGGGGCAGCCGGAAGTGACGTAGCGGGCGGTGGCGGAGCGGCGGAACGAGGCGGCGGCGGCGCGGCCGGGCCGGGCCTGGGGCACCCCGGCACAGGTGAGACCGGGACACACCGGGACACACCGGGACACACCGGGACACACCGCAGGGCTGCCTCCCGGCGCTGCCATGTCCCCGGGCGGGGTGCCAGTGCAGCGGGAGCGGCTGCGGGTGCGCGGGGGGGGCCAGCCTGGCACGGGGAGACCCCGGTGTGAGCGGAGAGCGGCGGAGCCGCAGGCACCGGAGGGGTTTGGGCTGGAAGGGACCCTGGGCTGCTGGGACATCGTTCACAGCCCACGGTGCTCCGAGCCCCGTTCTCCAGCCGGGACCTGCCTCTGCCCCCCGGCCGAGACCGGAGCTCGGGCAGCGGGGTGAGGCTCAAGCACAAGGAGCGCAGGAATTGGCAATTCCTGGTTCTGCGTTTTTCGTTCTGCCCTGGCTGTTGGAGCCGCTCGGGGCTGTCCCAGAACCAGCCCAGCCGCTCCCCTGCTCGTCCCTGCCGCCTCCCAAAATCCGCGCCCGCTCCCTGCTCGGGGCAGAGCAGAGCCCGCAGCTTTTCCTGCTGCTCCCCGGTCCCTCCGCTCAGCTTTGCTGTGCTGCTTAACCTCTTCATTTCCACTCGCTGCTGCTCTTGGGGATGAGTTTGGAAGGATCTGATACCCATTTGGTTCCTGTAGTGAGCACAGATCGCTGGGCTGCAGTTTAGGGCTGCTTCGTGTTCCAGCTGCCGATTTCTTGCTAAACAGTGAAATAAAGAACAGCAAACCCATGCTATGGGTGAGCCTGGCCACGCAGGGAGTGGTGAGAAGTTCTACCAGAGTGGTACACGAAGTTTTGTTGCTGCAGAATACCTTAAATATAATTATTTATAGGTGTTTTGGCAGGCTTTGCAGCTGAACTGTGACCATTCCGTTTTCCGTGGGGTGGTGCATTGTTTTTCCTGATTTTTGTGTGTTTGTATGATGAAATTAGGAACTGAACACAAACACAAAAGGGGAATACATTCCTCTAGCTACTGTAAAGCTTTTTTTATTATTTTAATTTTTTGAAATTCTTCCGTGTGTAATTTGTGCTGTGGAATTGTGATGGGAAAAACATTGCTGGCTATGTTCTTGCCTTTTGCAGATGTGCTTAAATTAGTTTCTCTCAGTTAATTTCCCAGTATAGAGTGATAATAGAAGAGCTTATTTATCCCTTTTTTTCAGGTTTTTCAGCCCCTTCCCTGTCACTGCTATTGTATTCTGTATTTAAACGTTGGCAACCCATTTGATTATTTCAAATTAAGCACTCCTTAAGTGGGCTCCCCTGCAAGTGAGGTGTCATTTAAGGAGCTGTGCAAACGATGAACTTATTATTAAGATAAAAGAAGCGAGATCTTGCAGAGATCATTTAGCAAATCAGCAGCTGCTGGGCTCGGGAGTGGGGTGGTTGCAGCGTTCCCTGGAGAACAATGGGATTCTTTCCCCGTGGCCCATGATCCTGACACAATTCCTACCTTCCACCTGTCAGCAGTGCAGCTCTGGGGGCTGAACAAAGAGCTGCTGCACCCTGGCAGTGCTCAGGGAGCTGAAATTAGAGCGGGTACCCAGCGCTCCAGTGTCACGATGCACGTGGGGACTTTGGGGACGAGGAGTTGTGTGGAGCTGTGGAGGAGTGAGGATCCTCCCCTCGGCACTCCTGGAGCTCCTGGGGAGCGTGGGCAGCTGCCAGCGCTGCAGTTTGGAAGTGCTGAGAATTCCAGGGTTCTCAGCCTTGTCCTCCTGCTCACCTGGGCAGCTCTGAGCTCTGCAGAGGCTCAGACCATCCCAGCAGGGATTTCCTGGCACGGGGAGAGCCCCAGGGTCAGGGGAGGATCTCCTGTTCCTGCTGTGCTCCTCTGTGCATCCACAGCACAGGAATCTGCTCCAGCCTTGGCTCTGTGGGGGTGGCTGGCAGAGAGAAGGCTGGGAATGAGAATGGGAATGGGAATGAAGCTGCTCCCTGCCACAGAAAGGCACAGCAGGAATTTTAAAATTAAAAGGAGTTTAAGAACTTCCAGAACTTTGTCTCAAATAAGCCAGTTGTATTCTGTAGTTATCTGTGTTTGTTTCTATTTCAGCCACTGTTCAGTTCTCTCAAGCCATTGATGTAGAATCACAGAATATCCTGAGTGGAACAATATCCTTCCACAGAATATCCTGAGTGGGAAGGGATCCACAGGAATCATCATTCCAGCTCCTGGCCCTGCACAGACACCCTAACAATGCCCATAGATATTTAACTCCAGGGGGAAAAAAAAAAAAAAGTGATGGTTGTGAGTTGTTTTAATTCAGAGTGTAATCCAGTATAGAATATTAATGAACATTTGGAGATTAATTTTGGATTTAACTTGCATGAGAAAGTGTAGCAGGTAAGGGTTGAAAAGGAGGAAACCTTATCAATTTAATGAACATTTGAAGGTCCTGGATATAACTTGTATGAGAAGGTTTAGCAGGTAAGGGTTGAAAAAGGAAAGGGAAAGGAGGAAGTAGCAAACATTATCAATTTAATGAACATTTGAAGGTTCTGGATATAATTTACATTATAAAGTGTAACGGGTAAGGCTTGAAAAGGGAAAAGGAGGAAACCTGATCAATTGAATGAATATTTGAAGGTTCTGGATGTAACTTGTATGACAAAGTGTAGCAGGTAAGGCTTGAAAAGGAGAAGTAGCAAACCTTACCGATTGAAAACCACCTTGTGACTGTTACGTGTGCCCCGTGTGAGTTGCAAAGCCCGAAGTGACCCCTCCCTCTGTGTGTTTTGTCCCAGATGGACCCGTCGTCCCCGCCTTTCCTGCTGGCCAAGCTGACCCCGCTGCACTCGGAGCAGCTCCTGCAGGGTCTCAACCTGCTGCGGCAGCACCACGAGCTGTGTGACGTGGTGCTGCGAGTAGGCGAGGCCAAAATCCACGCGCACAAAGTGGTGCTGGCCAGCATCAGCCCCTATTTCAAAGCCATGTTCACGGGCAACCTGTCGGAGAAGGAGAACGCCGAGGTGGAGTTCCAGTGCGTGGACGAGGCGGCGCTGCAGGCCATCGTGGAGTACGCCTACACCGGCACCGTGTTCATCTCGCAGGACACCGTGGAGTCGCTGCTGCCCGCGGCCAACCTGCTGCAGGTCAAGCTGGTGGTCAAGGAGTGCTGCGCCTTCCTGGAGAGCCAGCTGGACCCCGGCAACTGCATCGGCATCTGGCGCTTCGCCGAGACCTACGGCTGCCACGAGCTCTACCTGGCCGCCAGCAAGTTCATCTGCCAGAACTTCGAGGACGTGTGCCAGACCGAGGAGTTCCTGGAGCTGACGCACTCGGAGCTGGACGAGATCGTGTCCAACGATTGCCTGAACGTGGTGACGGAGGAGACGGTGTTCTACGCCCTGGAGGCCTGGGTCAAGTACGACGTGCAGGAGCGCCAGAAGTACCTGGCTCAGCTGCTGCACTGCGTGCGCCTGCCCTTGCTCAGCGTCAAATTCCTCACCCGCCTCTACGAGGCCAACCACCTGATCAGGGACGACCACACGTGCAAGCACCTGCTCAACGAGGCCCTCAAGTACCATTTCATGCCCGAGCACAGACTGTCCCACCAGACCATGCTGCTGACGCGGCCCCGCTGCGCCCCCAAGGTGCTCTGTGCCGTGGGGGGCAAGGCCGGGCTCTTCGCCTGCCTGGAGAGGTGAGCAAGAGCCCCGGGGAGAGCCGGGTGGCTCCTCCTCCTTGTATCTAGATGATACAGTAATTGATTTATTGTTTAAAATGCTGTTATTGCATCCAGAGGATTCAGCAAGCCCAGCCCACACCTGTCACCTCAGCTGGGGGTTTGTCTGAAGCCACTCTAGTTCTGTTACAATGCATTCTATGCTTTTCTTTTAATACATAACAACCAATCAATACCTTTGCTATTACCTATAGCCTGTCATAACTACTAACATTACCATATTCTTGTTCCTATTTTCCAATCACAAAAATTTAGTGTGTTGCAGTTTAAGCTGGAAGTTGTTTTTCAGTTTTCTTGCAGTGGAAAATTCGGAAATCTTTTTTTCTACTTGCAACATTGGCTTTTTGTTTGCCTGTGAAATCTTTTTTGCTTTTGTTTTGTAAAAACATCTTTTGTTTGAGGTGGGCTTATCCTTTGCTCTGAGCTATAAAACCCTTTCCAACTCACTCACACTTTGCTTTCCAGTTATCCACTAAGGCTGGCTCAGCAATTCTTTTCTTCTATATCAAAACTTGCTTTCATTTCTATTCCTTCTTCAGATTCTCCATTCAGAGATCTTTGTGTTATACACACACATCTGTGAGACCTTCCTGTCAAATCCTTGTCCTTCCCAACATCCCCTGCTCACTGAGCCTGGAGGAGACCTGGGAGTCCCATCAGAGTTTGCAGGGTGTGGGTGTTCCTTTCCTCCATGAAAACTTTTCAGCAGGTTTTTTTAATAAGGATGAGCCCCAAATGCATTTTATTTCATGCAGTATTTTAGGGGGTTTGGTTTGTGCCTGACATTTGTGCAAACAAAAAAAGCTCTGAAAGCATTTTCATTCTGTTGATTGAGTTAATAACGTGGTTAATTAAGTTGGTGCAGTTCTTATTTTTCCTTCTAGGTGTTTTAATTTTACTTAATTTTCCCCCAATTTGTTATTATTTCAAACAAATCATAGAAATTAACTTGCTGTCTGACAAATGTTTTTCCTGATAATTCAAAAATCCTTGGAATTAAAATAGACTAAATCAGAGCAGAGTGCAGGAGAATAAAGGAGGCTCAGAGGGACTTGTCCCTACAACTCCCTGAGCCCCAGCTCTGCTCCCAGGGAACAGGGACAGGAGGAGAGGGAACGGCCTCAGGCTGGGCCAGGGCAGGCTCAGGGTGGAGAGCAGCAGGAATTTCCCCATGGAAAGGGTGGGCAGGGATTGGAAGTGCCCAGGGAGGTTTGGAGTGCCCATCCCTGGAGGTGTCCCAGCAATTCCTGGGGGTGGCACTCAGAGCTCTGGGATGGGGATCAGGACCCTGATCCTGGAGAGCTTTTCCAGCCTCAGTGACTCTGGGATTTCCTGAAGGAGTTCTGGATCATGATGTGATGATGGATTTAATCCCAGCTGCTGGGCAGGTGTCTGTCTGTGCTGGAACAGGTGAGTGCCCCTCCCTCCTTCACCTGCATTCCAGAATGAAACTCCTCAGCTCTTGGAGAGCATCCTTGAGGCTCAGCCTGGAGCAGAAGGAACAAAAGAGAAAGAGAAAAAACAACTTTATGCCCCAAAGCTGGTGTGGCTGGGTTTGCTTGGAACATGGGATGAACATTCCCAGAGCTGTGGTTAAATTATGTGTGGGCTGGTTATACCCAAATGCACGTTGATACATTTGTACAAACACACACAAATGCACATTGATACATTTGTACAAACACACAAACTCTGATGGTCAGTGTGCCCTCAGCAGCCCCTGGAGCTTTCCCTGGGCCCTCTGCCTGAGCTGCTTCCACAGCTCCATTCTGCAGCCTGGGCTTCTGATACTTGAGGCTAAGACAGGGGAGGTTTAGGCTGGATATTAGGAAAAGGTTCCTCTTTTTATTAGGAAAAGGTTCCTTGGACTCCTTGATCCTTCCAACTCAGGATGTTCCATATTCTGGGAATAATTTTGGTTTTGTTTATGATTGAAGGGGTGAATACTGATATTCTGGGAGATCCTTTTCTGTGACAGTTCTGTTCTTGCAGAGACAAACACATTTCAAAACCTGGGCAGAGCTGTGTGTTCTTTTCCCTGTGTTCAGAGATATCAAAGTCATTTAAAGTTAATTTTCCCACTGATAGTCACTGATATTAAACCAGATGTCAGGGCTGGGAATTGTTGGCTTTATAGCCTTAAAAAAATAAAGGGTTTTTTTCATAAAAAATATTTGAGTGAATAAAGTAATTCTCTGATATTCTCCAGCTCTGCTTCTTCAATGATTATAAAAATGCAGCCTACCAATATAATTTGGATTATTTTCAATTTTTTGGTGCTTAATAATAGCAAAATTACTTGGAATAGATTTAATCTCTGTTCTCTGGTGTTTCAGCAGCTCCTGTTTCTGGGCTCTTAGTGCCTCTCAGCTCTCCAGGGGCCTCATGCTCCTGCATGGTTTTTGTACAGATCAAGTTTCCTCTGTACCAGATAACCTCTTAATTATTTAGGTAGTTTATTAATTAAACTATTCAGGTAGATTGGCTAGACTTTATATGGGGCAAGCTAGAACCACCATGTTCTCCCATGGAGTTTAATTAAAAGAAAATGGTATTTTAGGGTCTAAGTTTTAGGGTTTAAGTTTCAGATTTCAAATGCTGCTTAAGAAAAATAAGCTGTTTTAAAGACATATCTTTCAGGTTAGTTTGTGCTACGTTAACATCTTGTTTAAATTATAGAGTGCACATAAAATCCATATTTATAAACTGCAAGCTGTACTTTCTAAATTTATATTTGTAAATACAGACGTGCACTTCCCTCTCTCTAATTTACTTTTCTCTCTCCCATTTCCATGGCTGGTTTGGATTCTTTTTGTGTGTGTTTTCTCCTCCCTTTGGGGTTGTATTTCCAGCAGGTTCCATTGCAGCTGATGCTTTTCCCACTGCCCTTTTCTCCCTGCAGCATGGAGATGTATTTCCCTCAGAGGGGCCAGCTCGATCCATGAGTTGTTCTGATCATCCTCTGCAGGGTTTTTTTTGGTGTTTTCTCCTCCCTTTGGGTTGTATTTCCAGCAGTTTCCATTGCAGCTGATATTTTTCTCACTGCCCTTTTCTCCCTGCAGCATGGAGATGTATTTCACTCAGAAGAGCTCATGGATTGGGTGGGCTCTCTGATCATCCCTTGTTATGAGTCCAGGTTTTTTTTGGTGTTTTCTCCTCTTTTAAGGTCACATTTCCAGCAGGTTCCATTGCAGCTGGTGTTTTTCTCACTATCCTTTCCCCCTGCAGCATGGAGATGTATTTCCCCCAGAACAGCTCATGGATTGAGCTGGCCCCTCTGAGCATCCCGTGTTCCCCATTTGGTTTTTTTGGTGTTTTCTCCTCCCTTTGGGTTGTGTTTCCAGCAGTTTCCATTGCAGCTGGTATTTTTCTCACTATCCTTTTCCCCCTGCAGCATGGAGATCTATTTCCCCCAGAATGACTCGTGGATTGGGTGGGCTCTCTGATCATCCCCCACTATGAGTTTGGGGTTTTTTTGGTGTGTTTCTCTTCCTTTTAGGTCACATTTCCAGCAGTTTCCATTGCAGCTGATCTTTCTCTCATGCCTTTTTTTCCCCCTGCAGCATGGAGATGTATTTCCCCCAGAATGACTCGTGGATTGGGCTGGCCCCTCTGAGCATCCCCCGCTATGAGTTCGGTATCTGCGTGCTGGAGCAGAAGATTTACGTGGTGGGAGGCATCGCCACCCACGTGTGCCAGGGCATCAGCTACAGGAAACACGAGAGTTCTGTGGAGTGCTGGGACCCTGACACCAACACCTGGAGCTCCCTGGACAGGATGTTTGAGAGCAGAAGCACGCTGGGTGTGGCCGTGCTGGCTGGCGAGCTCTATGCCCTGGGGGGCTACGATGGCCAGTCCTACCTGAGGAGCGTGGAGAAATACATCCCCAAGGTCAAGGAGTGGCAGCTGGTGGCCCCCATGAGCAGGACACGGAGCTGCTTTGCTGCTGCTGTGCTGGATGGGATGATCTATGCCATTGGGGGCT